CACCCATGACACAAAGCAGGACAGAGTGCAACACGTGTGAAAATTCTGATCCGAAACACTTCGTGATGCCTTGCAGCTTGACTAAAAGTAATAAACCGATAACCAAAGACTAAACGCCGGCCACATCATGGCCAGCTTAAAAAAAATACAAATTTGACACAAATCAACGCACTTAAACAGAACAGCAGACGTAGACGTCTCAAAAGAGTGGACGATATTTGCGACGTAGAATGTCGCACCATAAATCACCTAAAATACATCTTGCACATCGAAAGATCGACCAGAGAACGTACAATAGCTTGAAACTGGGTGCATCCATCAGGCCTCAAATGTACGGGTTACCGAAGACTCATAAGAGTGGTACACCTTTCAGACCAATTCTATCAATCGTAAATTCCCCGCAACACAACCCTGCTCGCTGGATGTGGATATGCTTACACCGTTAAAAAAGCATGCTATTCCACACAGCATCAAGAACGCTCTTGAACTCATGGAAATTCTTGACAGCACATATTCGTCAGATGTTGTCATGTGTTCATTAGATGTATAGTCGTTGTTTACAAATGTTCCACTATGTGAGACCATTGAGTGTGTGTGTGTGTGTGAGGTGGCGGAACATTCCAGCTTATCTCTTCCAATGCCAACTGAGCTGTTGAAAGACACCCTATTACTTTGCACTGAAAGTATCAATTTCCACTGTCGAAACACCCCATACCGCCAGATAGATGGTGGAGCAATGAGGAGTCCATTGGGTCCAGTATTAACGGATTTCTTCATGTCTATGGTGGAGACAAAGATGAGTGTAGGAATTTCCCGCTTTTCCTACTAGAAACGCTACGTGGACGAGATCTTAGTGTTCTCGTCAACAACAGAGATTACCCGTCTTGTCGAACTTTTATTAGTGTACATACAAATTTGGGAGCAACCAGCGAAGTAGAATGTAACAACTGTTTCCCATTTTTGGACATACTGATTAGTCGTGGAGAAAACGGTCTCATCAAACGATCTGTTTACCGAAAAGTGACATGGTCCGGGCAGCACCTGCCCTCCAATGCGGTACCAGTGAACACTAGTCAAAACCTCGCGCAAGATGATTATGCAGCCCTGATTGACTGAAAAAGAAACAAGAGCTGTTGACTAATGCGCTCTTGGAAAACGGTTATCCTCGCCGGTTTATCGTATAACATAGCCAGACGAGAGTGGTGTGATAGATAATCTTCTTATTGTGACCAATAAGAAGATCTTTATAGAACTACCGTTTAAAGGTGATCTTGCCACCATGAGGACAACCAAGCGATTAATTTCCGCTGTTCATAGGACTTATTATGCTTCCTAAGCTGTCCTTATTAATCGAACCAACAAAGTGCCTGTTCCCCCAACGAAGGAAAGACAAACTGTCGGCGCCATTTCACACTGCATTTGCCAAATCACTTGTAGCTGCGAGTCACGCTACATAGGCCGTACCGAGAGAATGTTGAATTCCAGAGTAAGGGGACATGTACCTAAGTGGGTGCAGCGTGAAAGTATCCAGGCTTCCGCTTCGTCTACCACTTATTCACGAAAGTCACCTTCCTCATCCATAGATAGAGACTTATTGTCTACTTGTCATCCATTCGACCCTACCACACAGTTCACAAGCTTGTTGAGACATGCAAACACCCACATCCTACCTTTCGTCGAGGCTGTCGCGATGAGCAGGATCAAACCGGCACTCTGTGTGCAAATACAGTTGTACGTAAGGTTAAGGCTCCCATGGACGTAGGGGTGGCATATCCGTACCTCACCCTGTCTCTATGTTATTCGGTCACACCCTAGCTGCAGATGTATATATTTTCCTGTTATTGTATTGGCACTGAGAATACAATACGAAATGTTAACAACTGCCAGCTTTCGTCTTCTCACAGCGTTAACATGTATACTAGCCGCACTTCACCGCCCAAAAAACTCCACGTCTGATGTGCACTTCAACTGAACATTTTGCAGGTTGCCTTGAACAAGCCCTACATCCCCATTCTTATCGCTGGAGACTTTTATGTGCATTACATAAAAACGACAGTACCCGATGATGCGCAGTTTAAACTCTTGGTTGCAAGAGATAATTTCCAGCCACCCTCTGTACAACCACGTAACCATTCCCAAAGGATGCCGAACTGCTAACAGGCCGCCGGTACTTGATCTTTTGTTCACTAACGAAGAACTCGTGGTCAACGGGAGAGTTAAAAACATGCCACGGGGTCGCAGGGATCATGCTACTCTACTGTTTTGCTATATATACTATGCGGAATATCCTGAAAGGAGGATGATGCAGTATATACGATCAAGCAGTATAACGTGCTATCTATGCTTGTTAAGGATACATCTTGGACTTTCTACACCGAATGTCCCGCAGACGTTCCTGAGAGACGTTCGCCAATACGTTTAGCACACTGGTAGTGCACGCATAGGAATAGAAGACCCTCTAACGTGAAATCGAATAAAATTAATTTCCAAGGAGCAGAACACGTAAATATGTCCCTGAGTGATTTGGCAGGGCGAGCTCACAAGGACTGTCCGAAGGACGACACTTGGACTGCACACGTGACATATCGTAACTTCTGTGTGAAAGTGATCCTCATCAGTATGAGTTAATGAAGCGATTCTGCAAAAAGCGTAAACTTCTACACAGGCATGTTAATGATCTTAGTAAGGTGAGGCGCAGAATTCCAGCACTGGTCACGGCTGATGGGTGCACACGGAGAGCAATGGAAGCAGTCGATCTGCTACCGCTTCATTACTCACAAACTTTACAGTAGGCAACGATCCCAAATATTTTCCTTGTTTCCATTATTCTACTGCCGGGTATATACAACATTACCTTCACTGCGGAAGCTGTGTCGAAGGTGTTATTCCTGCGTATCCACAGTTCTCGTAGAGTAGCCAACATTCAACCAGAGGCTCTGCAGGCAGTAGCAAGTGATCTAACAGAACCACTGGCGATTTTCCATCAGCGATGTCTAGTGGAGAAATATATAACACCGGTATGGAAGTGAGGGGTCATCACTTTTATTCATTAAGGAGGTAGCTGAACTGACCCTACCAACTACCGTCCAATAACGCCACTTCCTGTACTCTTCAAAGTTATGGAATCAAGCATCGAAGATGCGCTGATGCAGTAACTCGAAAGCCACAACCTAATAGCCATCGAGCAACATGGCTTCGTTCAAAAGAATTCGTGTACTACTAACCTATTAATTGCATGTAATATCTGGACTGAAGCCGTTGATGGTGGAGCCGGAGTCGATGTCATTCATCTACCTGGACTTCTCCAAAGCGTTTGGTCGCTTAGACCCTCGAATTCTTCTTCCCAAGCTTCAGAACTACGGTTCTGGCGACCCAATCCTGAGTTGGATAATCAATTTTCCAGACGAACGTCGGTTGAAAGTGAGAGTCCGGGAATCTGTCCGATGCAACCGATGTGGAGTGCGGTGTTACACAAGGCTCGGTGCTTGGGTCTCGTCTATTCGTGGTGTTCATAAATGATCTGGCGAAGTAAGTTGATCCGAATTTTTTTATTTTTGCAAGTGAAACCAAGATATGGCTAACAGAAGACCGGACGACAACGAACGGCTCCAATGCGATCTTAACAAAGTTTCGAACCGGTCAGTTCAGAACGCTCAATGATTCAACATAGACAAATGTTGCAGTGTGCAATAACGCCATAGACATGACTACATGTATTTGCTTGGGGCACACGGATTACAGACCAGCTCCCAGAAATGTGAGTTGGTGTGCGCATACAGTGACCACAACATTTAAAAATAGGCGGAGGTAACTGCGAAAAGTGGTAATCAGTACGTCGGACTGCTGCGAAAGGCGTTCAGGAGGTTTGACCCATCAGCCTTCCCAATGAGGCACAATTGTCACGTGCGCCCTCACGTTGAATACGCCATCCAAAGTTGGCAACCTTGGTTGAAACGTGAACTAGAGGCACCACACACACACGGCACACACGGCACGTCCAACCACACTCCGCAGTGCCTTGTCTCCCCACCGAAGGTGATGATAACCTAGCTGATACTCACGCCGAAACCTGACACCATGAAGTACACGTAACCAACTTGCCGTTCTTTTACCATGAGCTTCGAGTTCCATCTAACCCGGGAAAGAGTCAGTCGAACGTGTCACGCGCACGCGTAGCCTCGATGCAACCAGTCAGTCTGTCCACATGTTTAACAGACAGTTAGGAGTTCCACTGCTTCACAAAGATTGATGGGATAGGTAAAATGAGAGTAGAGAAAACCTGCTCGCAGGCTATTCCAAGTGAGAACGCTTTGTTTAACGCGTTATCAGTGGACAACTATTCAGGGATGTCGAGTGCAGTGACAAGAAAAACCCATCTTACTAAGCGCCGTCATGGTTTGCCACGGTTCTGACAGCTGCAATTTGTGCATACTCTTTAACATTTTGCAGTTGAAAGATGACCTACAAAGTACATTGTGCTGCGACTTCCTTTGTAACTGGAATTCACAGTTGTTAGAATGAACTCCAGGTCCACGAGAGCAAACTAATTTGCTGACAATTACTAAGTAACAGCTTTATTCATAGTCTTTAGATTGGTCAAACTGTTTCCCAAACCATTACGAAAATTCAGGTTGTCAACAAATGCACAGACTTTAGATTTATTTATGGTCTGTTACTAATCGTTTCTGTTTAACAGTATAAAATTACAAATTTAACATCTTCCGCTATTCTTTGTTTTACCGTGTTACATAAACCTCGTTCGTTTATCGATTGTCGTTTGATGAGACCGGTGGATTTATTTGTCTAGGCGTCCAAATATGTTGCATGGCGCCATTTGTCAATGATAAACAAGTTAAAGATGGCCGTAGCTCAGAGAGAAGAACGACACCCGAAACCTATCATCGAGCACCAAATCTAAATGTTGAAACAGCTCACCTCGGTTATGCAGTCCGCGAGAGGCGACACAATGACAACAAAGTGGGTACGAAAAACGAAACAGTGGATTTTTAACCGTTTTGAAAGGCATTGCTCACGAGTCCTAGTGGCGATACCGTCTACTGGTAATCACAGTGCTTCGAAGTACAGCTCCAACTAACGCGAAAAGAACTGTTGGGAGCAAAGAACGCCTAGAAGTTTGTGAAAAACATAAGTGTGTGTGTGTGTGCCGTGATTAAAAATGGTTGCAAGCCCCCTCCATTAGATAAAATCTGTCAATTGCTCAAAGTACGACGTTCAGCGTATGTATCCAATGTGGACTGTGTGAGTGCTATACGGCGTGCAAATGAAGTAAGCGCATGAGTGAGAACGAAGAGAGACTGAACACAGAGCATATAAGAAGACAAGAGAATAAAGGAACTGGAAAATATTACACAAACGGCGTGATTAAAAGAAGTAAATTCGAAATATTCTACACGTTTTCAATGGCGGAGGGGAAGTGAATCTGAACTCGTTGAGAGATCGGCGACCGACAAAGTGGGCAGGTGGAAATTTTCTCGGCACATACTGCGCAGGTGCATACATGACCACACTGAAGGAATATTATGAGGCACTGAGAAAGAAAGAGGAAAAGTTATGCCGATTAGATTGCCCATAAGTCGAGCGGACGACTGTATCAGAGAAGACCCAAGCTAAATTGTGTATATCAGGGAGAAGCGGTTCTATAGAACTATATCATAATGAAATTTCGTGGCAATTTCAAAAGTGTAAGAAAATGCGGACGTAACAGACCTTTGCGTCTTGGCAGATGCAGCACTCGTACTCAAGCCGCGCAACTAGACCAAATGGTGGGGCAGACGGAAGGATGGATTCGACAGCAGTGTCCAACTGAGATTGATTTTCTGGTGGGGCCGATGGTTCACTAAGCACATTTTCAGGTTCCTGTCTGACATCAGCAACACTCTGCAAGAGGAAGACGAAAACACGTACCTAAGTCAAATGTATTTCTGTCAGTTGGCATAAACGCACAGCGTCATAGATAAAAAAGGAAAAAGATTGCCATATTATTTCCTACCTCTATTGATCGAACCGCTGGCGATCAAATAAAAGTGATGTTGGTTTCTTTAAACTTCTGGGAACTAATTGGAATACTGACTCCCCAAACAAGTCTACAATTTGCGTTTCTACGAGGTAGATGACGGAGACGTCAGGCTGCGAATGGGTGTATCATGAAGTGACCCAAATGATCACGGCGGCACGCCAGAATACTGTACATTCGGAAGTCTACAGGTTGGAGCCTGCACAGTGATGCATAGCGTCCCGTGTATGGATGGAAATGAGCATGTCCGTTGTAACAAACGGATATATATATATATATATATATATATATATATATATAACGATCGACCAATGTAGAAGCAGCGGAGTGCCACAACATGTGAGCAAAAAAAGGAAAAAGGCAGTCGGATGTGGGGGTGGTTCACATTATGCTTCCCACCGAGCACCGTTCAGAGACAAATACACTAGTGTTTACGACCTGGTGCGTTCACTGTCTTTGGGTCTATAACCCAGGGGCACGGAACGCCCAACAACGGTTGACTTAGATGTCAGTGCCTTGATTCCCTGAGCCAAAGCAGAGGGCGCGCACCGGCGCAACCGGTGAGCACCCTTACAGTACACATGCCAAAGTATGGAAAATTGTGTTGGGAAAGTATTCAGCTCAGCAATCGGTAACCTGCCTGATTTGAAAATCCGACATTGAACGTAGGCACTATGAGAGCGATGTTGTCAGCGTATATCAACGATGCTCAGGAAGCAACTGTGGTAATCTCTGGACATCCCTAGCTTGAAGGAGTCAGATCCTGCAACCATAAAAGAGCACCGTTTGTACAGTAGCGTTGTGGACTCTATGTTTTAATTAAAGGATGAGATCACGCCGGCGCCAGAGATGTCGGTTACAATAGGCTACTTTGACTCTGGAGCTGCGCAAATTGATCACATCCGTTAATCCGCCAACTATAATGAGTCTCTTAAGGCAAACTAATTTATCGACCATTTCCAAAAAGGAGAAATGGGAATTAGTTCCTAGCCGGTCTTGAAAGAAAACCTTGCACTTGGAATGGTATAGGTCATTCCGAGTTGTGGAACGGACATCTTCAAACTGTGTAACATGATCTGGACAGCTTCCGAGGAGTCACCGATTACGACGATGCCGTCAGTATATTCCAAGTTATAAAGCCGATAATTCGGAAGCAACTTGATAACACTGGGCTCACAGCCTCCCACAGCACTCTACAAAAGATCAACAATGAAGATGAACAAGATGAGTGGTGCAAACAACAATGTCTCACACCACTGGTGATAACACATTATTGTTAATGGCCAACATATGCTCGCACGCGGCCTGAGGTCAAAAGGTGTAATGCTTGGATAATGATCGGAAACTTCCCAGGCAACAACCTTCCCAGTAAGCAACTCCAGAAAACAGTTCGGTTAACAGAAGCAAAAAAGTACGTATGTCCAAGAAGCATGCAATAATGCGCCAAAAGCTCAGTAGTGCTCGGGCATCCGGTGGATCGTGGTGATGTGATCAGTACAACTCCGGCCTAGATGAAACACAGCTTGCTCTCCGCGTATGCATTGCTCGAGTACCGTGTTGAGCCTCGGTGAAAGCAGAGAACCGAGCACGTTGGACGCGGCGCTTAGAAGGCTGATACATAGACAATTGGCGCCATGTGTTCTATCACCGATGTCCGCTAAATTCCAACTAGACGGGATGACTTTAGTGGCGCGAATTTCTTGGAGGAAGTTCATTCACTGAGGAACGGATATCTATTTTTAATAACATCTGTATTTTGTCCGGACCAAATTTTTGACATACCAGAAGATGAAACTTGTAGCGAACTGCAGCAGACAGAGAAGATGTAAAAACGACTAGCAACCAGTGAGAAATCGTCGTAACTAAACACGGCCTCCCATTTTTCTACGGTATAAATGATGCTTCGCTTGAGAGTGACAGGTTTTGATCGCTTCCAAAACTATGATTTGGATCGTGGAGGACTACACGGCCAGTTGTTAAACAATCCTACGGAAATCATTCATTACAAAATGGAACCGGAAGGAGAAAGCTTTTTGAACCGACTGGGCACCAGGACAGTGAACGGATAGACGTGGATCCCGAAAGGCAAAAAAGAAGCGTACGCTAATCAGATGTTGAATTTCTAGAACAATCGTACAAAATGAACTGCGTTGGATTTAAATTGTAAGGCTATGGAAGCAAAAAAAGAAGGAATAATAGTAATCGTTCACAACGTTGCTACACAATGGGGATCTAGGTGGCCTCATCCGAGGATATGTGAACCGAAATACAAATTCTCAGCCGACACGAATGATGAAGCAACTGAATGACCTGTTGTATATAAAACAATCTTTAGAGACATTCATGCTATTTAGATTCCAACATAAACTGGGTGTCAGTAAACCAATAAACACTGAAAACTTTGTGTACACCAAAGGGAAACCTGAAAATACATGAATAACGAAGTGAAGCGTGTAATATATATAGCCTTAAGGTGTGGTCAGGACCAACATGATCCGAATCAGGAGCTTTATAATAGGGAAAACGCTAGGTACACTTTTTGGTATCGGCTGGTGGACGAAAGCAATACATGTCTGGCTTGTAAGCTGGTGGTAACTGCGTAGTTGTGGATAACTTCGCGCGGCGGGTAGTGGCCGCGTGGCAGTGAAACGTCAGTACGGTGTTCCGGTGTGATATCTTTGGTCTCAGTGCGTGTGAATGAAGTTTAGGTAGGTAAAGGATCCAAACTCAGACAAACAAGTAATGAAGGGTAACTGCTGGAGCCTTGGTTTTTTTCAGGCGGAAGCCATTATGCATTTGCAATGACTAGCATCCGCGCGTATTAGCAAATCAATTGCAAAGAAACTAAAAATTGTCGCGCGAAATAACACAACGAATGACACAGTCTACATGTAAATTTGCCATATCCATTACAAAGAATTGTAAGAAAGGATTCTACATCACAATAAACCCTTCAGTGACCGGTAGTAATTATTTAAATGCCCGTGAATACCCCAGGAAATAATCAATCAGACTGCAATGCATATAAAACTAGTGCCGCAGCCGGCGGCATCTATCTTCGGTGTGCATAAAGATCAGATTTCACCAGGTAAGTTAAGCGTCAATACGCACTGATGATAATGCGTTAACTGTGTTTACCACTAAATAGCACAACTCGACGAAAAAATCGACCTCTCAGGTAAACTACGAGCTTAACCGCTGCTGCCTGGGCCCAGAAGATTGACTTAGCAAAAGATCAAAATAAAGTTGACAGATTCATGACATCGAAACCGGGTGAGGGAACCATCGCATGTCCGAAAAACCCAGATAGTTCGGATTTTCCGGGACTCGTCTGATGATTCGAGAATGTTATAGGATACGTGTAATACTAATGAGGCGCAGGAAAGCAGTCGTTAACTGCTAGCCCCCGAGTTCCATCTGATGAGTCCATAGCAGGACGAAACTGATCAGGTGTCAGTGTTGGGAGGAGCAATACCGAAACACCTCCAAAATAAAAAACTGTCTAGAACCCCTAAGCGTGCGCTGTGACAATGTGAAGTTCCCCTAGTAGTGGTAAATCCTTCTGAAGCTTTAAACATTCACTACACCATAATAACGCTCGTCTACATACACGGACATTTTAGAGCGTTATTAATGGAACATATTGTTGCCACTCGGGAAGAAAATCTGTTACCAACATTCTTTAGCGGCAGCCATCGATGCACAAAGTAGCGGTTGGTGGATCGTTTCGAGTATCACAAAAAATGCAACTAGGACACAACCAGCCCGTTGGACATTTCGAAATACGAGAGCCCTGACCTAGTAAAAAGCCTCCAGTCACACCAACCTACATCAGTCCAAAACGAGAGCTCATATTTAGTATGTGCAGTGTCAGATACATTGAGTATGGCAGGACATGTTACACACATTGTGTATCAGCTGCAAGATCGTTCACAGAAGTGCGTGTTAAAGCCAGTGCTCGTACACTACAAGCCTGTACCACCTTGCCATCGATCACAAGATCACGAAACTCGGTTTCTTTACTGACACTTAAACATGACCTCCATAAAACGTCGCCAGGGAACAATCAGCAATTAACAAAACGCAAATTCTACCAAAAATAGCAACAACAACCGAATTGGTACCTACAAGTAAATTAAATGTTAAATAATTTAACTCGACTCTGGTCCTGTCTTGTTAACACTATTTAACTCACAAGACAATAGCCAGGAAGTTGCCGAGAGAGCACGTAGACAAACTAGAAGTGCTGAGGATGAACGAGGAAAGTATACTGTCCCGGCCAAACAAAGGTGAAGCTAAGGTTGTTGTGGACACAATGGAAGACCAACATAAGATGAAGGAATTAATTGAGGATGTCTTGAAGCACATGAAAAGGTTCAATCAGAAGGAAAAAACTACAACGATTAAAAATACTTCATCTAAACCTCTAAGACAAACGGAAAAGTTCAGTACAACTGAAGCACTATGATCCAGGAGCACAAGTGCGGTGCATCCAGTAGCCACGACACACATGGCCAGAAAAACAAAAACCAACAACGGCAAGAAAATGAAGGTGAATGTAAATAGATGCAAAGAAAATGAAATCAAGGAGGTGCGTTAAACTAATCAGAAAGAAACGAAAATTAACGACCAGATGCAAGGGACCGAATGCGGAAACAACACTGACTGCGTGATTGTGCCCCGTCTAATACGGTCTCCAACCATTGGTCTGGACAATCCCGAGGCTCCCATCCACGAAGAAAGCACGCACCAGCCCGACCAAGTGTCTCTGTCAAGTTCTTCATCCCACTATGCCACGTCATGGACTTGCCACCTCGCGATTTTACCCAACGGCGTATAATGCACGCCAAGGAAGCCGGTCCATGGAGATGACCTAGCCAACGTAAACGGTCCAGACTAAGCAACCACTCGAGTGAGATACCAGGTTTATTGCCAAAATCCAACTGGCGGACCACAGCATTGCTCACCCGGTGTTCCCACCAAATATGAGCAATACTCCGGAAGCACCGGTGGTCAAACAGGACCAAGCGTTTAATGCCTTCGTTGCGAACTGGCCAGGTGTCTGATCCACACAGTAACATCGGCCTTGTCGCAGCATTACCCACCCTACCTTTCGCTGACAACCTGATATCCCGCCGCCCCCATAGATGGTTGAGCTTCTGGGTAGTCACACAGGTCTTGTCGTTATAGGAAGTAACTTGCTCAGTGACATTACCACCAGAAGTAACAAAACTACTAAGGTAAGTGAACCGAACCACCCCTTTCAGTTGCTGTTCGGCTATAGGCAAAACCGAAGCGTGACGCGCCCCGCACCAATTTATTCAGTCGTGTTAGTATAGCCAATGCGTCAGACCAATGGAGACCAATGTCGTTCGAATACTCCAGGCTTGTCAGACAAGACAAATGGAGGCATCATTAGCAGTACGCCGGTACGCAGTACCGACGCTTCGCTGATGCGCAACCCCCATCAGTCGATCGTGGGCTAAGGATACTGCGACGATCTCCCTGCCTCTTCTCAGGTTCCAACCCGCGCCGTCAGATTACAAGGCAACGTTCTTTAGGCCGCGGGCCGACAAATGAAGTAGAAAGGTCGGATCGAGGCAAGGTCATCTGAAGGAAACCGTCCCATCGGTTCCATTATTAGGGGATCATCCGGCTTTCCCAAGGAGCAAAGAAAGGGACCGTGGAAATATTTATTTTCGACTATGCGAGGCATGCCCATGGAGATATATGAGTAATCCTGCGTAGCAAAAGTTGACAAGCTGGTGATACCAACTACCTGAACGGCCAACACGGAACCTTGTGACCCACAATTTACGGAACACGTTCGAGTGCGTTCACAATATAAAAGCTGAAAATGCTGAAAACAATCAGCTAGTTTCCCCCAACATGACGTAGTCCTTCAAGAATATTCTTGTCGGAGTGACTACAAATAACCTCACCTTGCGCAATAAGCGTATGGAAGGAACCAAAACTCTGGTCCCTTTACTACGTTAATGCAGGGCAAAGGGTCATTCCTTCGTGTGTGAGGTACAGCCTGTCCCAATACTCCGTTAATGCGTGACAAAGGGTTATTCGTTCGGGTGGGAGGTAGTGCGTAGTAAACTGCCAAATGTCCAATAGTACATGTTGGTCAATCACAAAGTGTTTCACCCGCGTACGAGTGTAAAACAACTGTATGCACGCATGTGGGTACATGTGTGCTTGCCAGTGTCGTCCATCGTCCATATGACCTTAACCTCGTGTTCGCCAAGAAACTCAATTATCATTACCGCCATTCCTTTTACTATCATGGTTCCCCAGTGTTAAGCGAATGGTCGCTGACAAATAACGTGGGAGCTACAAGCTAGAGATGTTTTCACCAGCGATTACTGTTGGCTACTTCTGCACTTCGCTTCAGCCTTTAGAGATTCAATTTGGCACAACTGCCAATTATACACGAACGGTGCGAAATTATCTTAAGGTGTTCGGTCACCGGTGGATAGGTCGCACAGGTCCAAAGGATTGGCCTGCTCGGTCACCAGATTTGAGCCAAAGGTGCGTTTGCAGCATAATGTGTCAGAAAAGTTATCACAGGGATAACGAAGGGGTTTGTGGTGCACAGTGAGCGAGAGAACACAGATGCGTGTGGTGTGGTCCCATGATTCGTCATTCACTTTCTCAAGTCAGTGAGCTTCGCGCTTTGTGCAGTGCGTGATTCTCAGTATCCGTGAAGATTAGATATTGCCTGGAAATGCAGCTTCTCAGTTCCCTGCTTATAGAATATTGCCTCATCAGTGAATACGTTGGAATGAACGCCTATGGTTCCACTTGAAACAAATTGTGCAGCGTAACCACACTTGTTTCCTGCAACCGCGACCAATACTGCGACGGGAGAATAGACTATGCGGCAGCGAATAGTAGTCTTTACGTGGCACGGCTTGTCAAACCTCTTTCTCACAAAGTCACATTTCGTATTTGCAAGCCCTAATCGTAAGCTATGTTTATATTGCTAAGGTAGGTTGTCGGAAGGTAACTTTCAGTCTACATGAGCGTTGCCAATAACCCTTTTGTCACTAGCTGGGGTAACACTAAGCACCTGTTGCACACTCCTTGCTCATGCCAGTTACGACTGTCGGGGTGCCACCACAATTCTACCTCAGTAACGGGGTTATGTGGTAATGCTGTTTCAATTTTGCAACCTGTCTCCGTTCCATCCAGCCCTACACAGCGTAGGTATCGATCGGTGAACTTGCATTGGGGCGTGCCGCACGCTGACTCCAACTCAATCATCCGAGCATGATCCACCGTTTTCACGATGCACGCCACTGGCAAGTACACAGGTACCCACATGCATGCATACAGTCGTTCCACACCCATGTGCGGGTGAGTGAGTGAGTGATCTCAGCAGTCTAACAATTGACAAAGTGACAACAGGAAACCATGGAAATCACAGGATAATGGAGAGTCATTGCGTCATAACCATCGTGGCATAGTAGTTGAAGGTGAGCAACACACTTCAGCTAATATGCCGCAGGAAGAAAGGAAAACTTTGAATAAAGTAGAACAAAAGATTTTTAGTATGTTTCCCAATGCCAATATTTCTCCTGTTTGTGATTTTCCATGTTTGAAGTAATAAATATGTGAATGAATACAATACTGTACACAATTCTTGCACTGATTCCGGTTGCGGGTCGTGTCTTCAAGAGTGTTAAGCCATTGGCACTCCTCATCTTTTGGTCCCCATCCTGGAAGACGTATGGGTCCAACAGCGCCAAGACACGACATTTTGTGATAGATCAACATTTACTGTTGCACAGTTGGCAATTAAATACGCTCCACTTCACACCCGAAGGAATGATCCTTTGTCACGGATTAACAGAGTAGAGTGACCAGAGTATCGGGTCCGGCTGTAGAGCGCACTAAAGTGACAAGTATTCAACAGTAGACGTTAGTCTACCACAAAATGCCTCAAACGTACATGGGTGTAGAACGACCGTATTCAAGCATGTAGGTAAATGTGTACTTGCTGGTGTCAGCCATCGCGAAAACACTGGATCATGCGCGGGTGATTGAGTTGGAGTCAGCCTAAGGCACGCCCCAATGCAAATTCACAGATCGCTACCTACGCTATGTAGGGTTGGTTGGAACGGAGACAGGTGTGCAAAATCGAAACAGCATTACCACATAACCCCGTTACTGAGGTAGGAATGGGGGGTGGTCCACCGCCGACAGGCTTGTAACTGGCATGGAGCAAAGGAGTTGTGCAAACAGGTGCTTAGTGTCAACAC